ATCCTGCGTCCACTCGATCATGAGGGACATGTACTGTCCTCCACGATCCATCCGCCTTGTCTCTTATACACATCTAGATGTGTATAAGAGACAGTGTGTGGGGATCGAGAGCCTCTGCGTGTGGCCGACGATGATGGATCACCTACAGGTGCTCTGGGAGGAGGGGGTGGCATGTCTCCTGCGCGTGGCGCTGTCTCCGTCACGCCACCCGAAACCCCTGGAACATGTCCCACGGTATGTCCTCTGGTGGAGGTAGACCCAGACCACACGGGCGACGCTGGACCCCATGGAACCGAAGGGATCGTCTGCCATGCTGGAGGCTCGAGCCTCCGGTCGAAGATCCGTCGGTCCAATCGAGTAACATCGCGCACAGCCTCTCTCGCCAACTCCTCTGCATCCAAAGGACGACGGACCTCCTGCGGAGCAAAGTGGCTAGGAAGACGTGGGGGCACAACCACCGGCTCGGACCCCAAACCGTGATAACGGGCGGTGGCACACCATGCACTACCATCTGAACCGCCTGCGACTGTCGGTCCTGAGCCAAGTGCAGGGCCGAGAACGGAACGACTGGACCCGTCGTTGTCTCCTGGACCACGCGCCGTGCGTCTATAGCCCCCTCAACTCGCCGCTGTCCTGCCTGCACAGCCTCATCCACCGCCTAAGGCCGTCCCTCCACAACGTCCGCTGCCTCTGCTCCACCCGGCATAGCCTCGGGTACCGGCTCAGCTGCCACTCCCTTCGCAACATCCTCCCCCGGCACCACCCCACCCTGCACACAATCCCCCCCTATCTCTCGACGCCTGGCCTCCTTTACGGCCCGTGCGAACGCCTGAGCACGTGGGTCACTCGATGCCAAAAGTCGAGCCCTCTCTCGGTCCATGATGTCGCGTGCTGCATCTGGAGACTCAATCGTCGTCCTCTCTCTCGCGGTCTGCGTCAAAGTCTGTCCCGGCGCCTCGTCCCTCGATGCAGCCCGGTCCGTCGATGTTGCCCCGCCGCAACTAGGTGGAAGGCCCATCGACAAATCGAAGTCTAAGTGGGTCCCCATCTCCGAATCCGAAATCCCAAACCCCCTCGCCACACCCGGGGTCATACCCGCTATGACCAGATCGAGCTCCTCCGTGAGGAACTGCTGCATGAGGCGCTCGTCATCGCCCCCACGCTGCACCTCGGCCTGTGCGGCGATCTCCTCCTCCACTGGTCCTGGCACCTCCCCCTCCACTGCAGCTGCCGACGGTGCCTCCTCCTCCTCCACTGCTGCTGCCACCTCAACCTCCACTGCTGCTGCTCCTCCACCTGCTCCTCCTGYTGYTGCCACCTGCCCCTCCACTGCTGCACCTCCTCCTGCCGCTGGTGGATCCTCCTCCAGCACTGATGCTGCCATCTCCTCCAGCACTGCTGCTGCTGCTGCTGCTGCTATCTCCTCCACCGCGGCTGCGATCGTCACGTCCGGCACCGCCGAACTCTCCACTGCTGCTGCCAACGGTGCTTCCTCCTCCTGCAATATCCCCGGGGAAGTTGATCGTAACCTCATCTGGCGGACTGCCCCGCCTCTGTGGAGAAGTCCGCGGTGAGGCAAAGAGGACCCCAACTCCTCCCTGTCCGCCGTTGCCGTGGCCGGCTGAAGTGGCGAGACAGGCGATGGTGGTGCAGGACTCAGAGCAGGAGGTGGCGGCATGGACGACTCCCGCCTCGTCGGAGTGGGGGTCGTGGCCTGCGCCTCTGGGCCACCCGTGGAAGCGACCTCCCCGAACGGGCCCCAAAACTCCTCCTCTCCCCCCAGCATCTCCCTCTCCGCCCGGTCCGCTGCCCGTCGTGCAGTGTGTGCCCTCGTCTCCTCGGAGTCAGGATCCTCGTGCGTCTCGTCGATCTCGCGGGGAATGCGGAGCGCAGGGTCATCTGCCGCCTCGGGTACCGGGTCCTCGTCTGAGTCGTCCTCCCTGGGGTAGGGACGAAAAATGCAAGCACGTCTATCGAAAACGGCATCAGCAGAGGGTGGTGCAGACGCCCCGATGGGATCCCGGGTAATAAGTGCAACCTGACGGGCAATCTCCTCCTCCGTCATCCCCCTGCGAGCCCCCGAGCGCACAGGCTCCAACTCGAGTCCTGCCTGGCAATCCAGCATGCCCTCCAGGGTTGTCAACCACCGGGCCCGGGGCCCCGGCGGGGGTCCCGGGGGTCGGGGGTCGGCACCCCCGGCCCCGAAAAAAAAAACGCAAAAAAAAAAAAAA